GTGAAGTATAAGCCGGGAAAGCAGAATGCTTCGGCTGATGCGATGTCACGCAGACCAGACTATGAGCTTGCTCATGTTACAACCGTAACGTATGCCTTGTCAAGGTCATTGGTGATGCCACCAAGTCTCTCAGGTGATGAGAGGTCAGGAAACGGACATGGGGTCCGCATGGCGCGTGCAGGGCTCGTCTCACGCCGCTGGCGCGGCTCACTTTTCTCGTCGTTCCACCCGGGAAAAGGAGTGTCAGACACGTAGTCGACCACCTCCACATCCCCAATAAGGTCACTCGTCACCGTTAGCGTGCGCAAGCGCGACGCTCGGGCTCATCGAGCCTAGGATATACATCCATTGATGCCGAGTAGACACGGTTCGACATGGCATGTGCGGTAGATGAAGCTGGGCTCGGCCCGGGACCGCTGTCGGAACCAGCAAGATTTGGAGACTATGGCGTCATTAACACAGGGCTCATTAAGCACGGAAGTCGTTTCGTTCTAACGCAGTGTCTAACGGACACGCAAGCTTCGTTGGAGCAATAATCGATTGGAACTGTAAATGTTCTCAATCTTAATGGTTACACATACATTGGTAACAGGTGTGTGTGTCACATCAGATGGGCATGGTGTGACCACACCCAAACAAGAATATGGTCAGTAGTTATTCATGTATTTAGATTTTACTATACATATCTATGCGTTTTAAATTAGGCGGCTTTGCCGCAGATAAAAATAAATAAAGTCAGTTTCTGAATTTAAACGGAAGAGTTAATTAGCCCTGAGTTAAGGTTGTAATTACTATTGAAATAAGCGGATTGCGATTCGCCAAACTCGTACTTGTTTTAAGTATAGAACGTAAGGTCGGTGAACTAACTTACCCTTCCCCTGAGCGCAAAGCTACGGCGGTCCCGTTGCAAATTATTTACACATAGCGAAATGTTTGCGTCCAACATGTGCAGTCTTAATTCGAGCCGCCTTTACACAAGAACACTATTCTAAAGGTCTTGGTATATAGAGTTGAATTGTCAGTAATCCAGACCATAAAAATTGCTGATAGATTGTTACATAACACGCTAGACACTAGGATGACTGACAACCGCATGGTGGTGGTTGTTGCAGTTGCAGTTGATGTTGACGTTGACGTTGACGTTGACTTTGATGTTGCAACATCAACTACAAGCATATGCATGTAACTTTTTAGACTGGATGTAATTAGATTGATGAACCAGGATCTAACAGTTTAATATATTCACTTTTAATTTTAAGTTTGAACCCATACCTGTCTAAAAAGTCAGGTTATGAGCCCAAGGCACAAAATTGAAGTCAACATGAAATCAGAAGAATTATTCGGCAATAATAACTATTTTCATTAATCGTTCAACATGGAAATGGAGCCTGCACGGAAGATGCTACGGGATCACGCGGTGGAAATGAAATCAGAAGCTGAGATGACGCTGGAATGGCGTGCGAAAGAATTCACCACTTTTGCACAAGGCGTCCAGTTAGAACATCAATCAAAAATCCGTTCTGCCCGTACTGCTCGTGAAGCATGAGAAATTCTTAGAGAATATTACAACCGTTTAAATACTCACAATCGAGTGACTTTGAGAAGAACTCTACATGTATTAACTAAGGAAGATGGAGCAAGCATGGCTTCTCATCTCGATAAATCAACGAACTGGTATTTGCGATGGTGTCGGAGATGGTATGAGCACTGATAGGCAGCTTGCGATCTTGCTTGGAAGTCTGCCGAGCAATTATGCGATGATTGTTGATGTCATTAAGAACTAATAAAATGAAATCTCACTTGACGAAGTGAAGGAACAGCTCTTGAAAGAGCACGAAGACATCGAAAGTACAGAAAAATCGGAAGAAAGCGCTTTCAAGGTGTAATTCGTGGTCATGGTGGTCGAAAGAATAAACAAGGTGGCCGAAGTCGCCGAGATCAGCATATTCAACACGACATGAAACAAGGTAACCGTGGACAACCACTATCAGCTCGAGCTTTCAGCGGGCGTTGCCTGGGCTGCAACAAGATTGATCATAAGAAGGTGGATTGTCCATCAAGTGCACGCAGTGTTGAGGTACTGTTTATGGCAAGGCTGAATGAAAAATTAGATTGGTTGATTGATAGTGGTGCACCATCGCGCATGATCCCTGAGCGAAAGAATTTTCAGACATACAGAGAGTTAAAAGAAACATTGGTGTTACAACTGCTGATGGTGAATCACTCCATGTGGTTGGTACGGGTGGTATTCACATGCAAGGCCCTCAAGGTCGCATAGTGAAGATAGTGGATGCTCTCCACATTCTTAAATTAGGCCGTCAGCTACTCTTAGTTGAAAATCTTACCCAGAAGGGTCTTACGGTGAGTTTTGGTATGAAAGCTATCTCTCGGGGAGAAGAATTAATAGCGACCGTACCACAAGCGAACAATGTGTTTTGTGTGAAGAATCAAGCACAGACTGTGAGTGTGATTGACCATCAAGAAAGACCAGGTGATTGGAAGTTATGGCATGCGAGATTAGGACACACGCATTATGACAATATGAAACGTGTGGTTGATGCGACTGATGGTATCCCTGGAGGACTCTCGCGTGATTAAGATCTATGTGGTGGATGCATGTTCGGAAAGAGTACTGTTACACCATTCCCAAAGCAAACAAACCGTGGTATGATAAAAACCTTGCGAGTTCTACAACTGGTGCACACAGCTTTCATGGGACCCATGAAAATATCGTCTACCGGTGAAGCAAAGTATGTGCTGCTCTTTACAGACAACTATTCGCGCGACATATGTGCATACCTCCTGAAGGGTTAGACCGAAGTGGCAAATCATTTTCGTGAGTACAAAGCGAAGATGGAAGGCCAACTAGGTGTCTGAAATTAAAATCGTTCGGTTAGACAATGGGACTGAATTTGTCAACAAGAAGTTTGGTCAGATTTTTGTTGATGCTGGGATCATCCACCAACGCTCTGCATCATATTGTCCTCAACAAAATGAGCTTGCAGAACGAACAAACCGAACCGTGATGGAGCTGGCAAGAAGCATGACGCTGTACAAGGCTGGTAAAACTCGATGGTGGGCTGATGCAGTCAATACTGCTGTGTACCTGCTGAATCGGATGACCAGCACCGCGAACACTGATATTACACCATAAGAGATTTGTTTTGACTCTCGTCCAGACTCGATCATATTCGTGTCTTTGGTTGTTGGGGTACGCACATATTGACAAGTCTCAACTAACAAAACTCGATGCGACATCAGTTTGCTGCATGTTGCTGGGGTACATGGAACATAGCAAAAGTTATCGTGTGTTTAATCTCGATACTGGAAAAGCGAAAACAAACCGTTCAGTCGCACTAGATGAACGCAAAGTATCTAGCATTTATAAAGTGAAATATCGGATAAGCCTCATGAG